GGGGCAATAACCGCCCTGGAGGTTCCATTTAGAATTGCTTCTTGAAGGGGCCCAACTTCTGGGGGGGGGGGTTGGGGAACGATTGGGAAGATGCTTGAGAAGGAGCCTGTGTCTGCTAGAAGCACAGGGCGGCTCCCCACCCTGTCACAACCATTGTGGTTACAGGGCCAAAGGGGGAGGGGTTAAAAACTGGGGGTGCCCCACTCTTGGATCTTCCTCACTTGCCCCCTAACCTACCCCGCATGGCGACGTCTCAAGAACAGATCACCGGCCCTGTTGTAGGTTCCGGACACAGGCTATGGGGTGTGGGATGTGGACCCTCCGTGCCCCGATTTGTCTACTTATCTCGTCCGTTTGCCGGGAAGGTGGGGGCCAGACCCTCCCGCCCGGGGCACTAGACGCGGGAGACCCTGTCACCCCAGGAGTGTAACAATAAACATGCCAACTTATGATTATGAGGCGATCAGGTGCCCTTTTTAATTACAGGATGACTCTGCAACCAAAAGGGGGGGTGACAGAGGAGGGGGCGCACCCGTGCTGGAAGGGACGGGGGTTTACAGCCCCGGGGGCAGGGCACGGTGCGTGGCAGCGCCCAGGCAGCCCCCGGCCCGTGGCCACCCCGCCCCCATGGCTAGAGCCGCGCCGGGGACTGCGGGCGGGGCGCGCGTGCGCAGTGATGCACTGCGCCAACCGCCGCAGCTCTAGGAGGCGGCGGAAACCGGCTGGAACCGGTCAGAACCGGCAGAGCCCGCCCGCCCGCCTGCGCCTCACAAAGGGACCCGGCGGCTCACGGCCGTGTATCCCTGCGCGGAGCGCGCGGGCGGAGGCGAGACTGTCTTGCCCCTCCCTCTCATGATCGGGTCCGAGACCCCCCGGCGGCCCCCGCGCTCTCCCCGCTATCAGGCCGGATGCGGGAAGTCCCCGACGCCAGGCTCGGGGAGCGCTCGGGTGTCCTGAGCGGGCGCCCCGGTGTCGCTGCTGGTCCTGGGCATCACTCAGCCCTCCTCGGAGGCGGTCGCCCGTGCACAAACATGGTTATGGCCTCTTCCGGCCTCCATCTTGGGTCCCCCCCCACGTTAGGGGTTAAGAAGGGAAAATGGGGACCCTACACAACCCGTGGTTGAGACAAGGGCCACAAAAACCTTAAGGCAACCATCTGGCCGAGTCATAAACGCCCCAAGGGGAAGGTGCCGCCCAGGGCGTTGAGCCGCGTCTGGGGTGGGGGAGGGGAGCCCGGCCCCGCCGTTCTCCGAGGCGGCCCAGGAGGCGCGTGGACGGCAGCAACAAAGGGCTGAGCGGCGTGGCTCGAGGCCTTCTAGAAGGGGCTTCCGCGTAGGGCGGACTCCAGCGGCCGCCGGCCTGCTCGGCTTCGCGAGTGAGAGTGGGAACCTCCGAACCAGCCCGCGGGAGGGGAGGCTGTTGGGGCCCAGCGCCGACATTAGACCTGCCCAAGATGGCTGCCCCGTTCCCGGAGGGCGCCGAGGCGGCGCCAGCCCGCGCTAACCTGCCCCCGAGGAGCACTCGGCGCACCCCATGCCCAAGGACACTGCAGCCATGTTCTAAACGCTACTGGAAAATTACCCAGTCGTGGCCCTGAGCTGTCATGAGCTGTTTAGCCGAGTTAATTCTAATTTCATGGTTTGGGCCTAAATTTTTAGCTGGGACCTACTTATTAGTCTTTCGTAGGCCGGCGTACACAGTGTGTCATGGAGTGACACAAAGTTACTGATAAACCAGATTCTATTTTTAACCCTGCTGGGAACTACTTTTGCTTCCCTCACAAAAGCTGCGGAGGGTTACGGAATGCCAGCGGCGTGAGCTGTCCCAGGTCTATAAATACGCCTCCCCAGGCTCTGCGGCAGGCACTCAGGCAGCGGGCGCAGAGACTGCAGGAGCGAGCAGGCCCGCTTGGGGAGACGCAGATAAGTTTTTCTGTTAAAATGAGGAAGCTAGTGCAGACGTAGAGTACTGAAAAGACCTAAGAAGCTACAGCTTAGGACAAGGAGCTAAATTTTGATAACCTAAAAGAGATGTTAAGGGAAATGGAGACTTACGTGAAGAGTACCTTGAGAAAGGGAGGAAGAAGAAAAAGGGTATTTCTAGAGTACCTTGAGAAAGGGAGGAAGAAGGAAAAGGTATTTCTAGAGCACGACGGAGGTTGAGATGAAACGCTCATGGCGTTGAAAGGGAAAGATTGCTTAGAAAGGGCTGCCGATTCCGGCATTAAAGAGCATTCAGTTGAAGGGCAGCCTGGCAGCCTTTTAGATTGACGTTAAAAGCTAGGGGACATCAATAGAACCTAAACGTCCTTTTAAAAAGATCGTGGAGGGTTAAAATACTTGGCTACTTTAGAAAGTGAAGTTGAAGGTGACGAGACCTTCAGATTAATGGCGCGCCAAAGGTCACGTCACTTGAAGCCTAGTCGATTTTCAGGGGCATCGTTTGCTTAAAAAAAATGGAAATATTAATTGGGAGTGGTAGGATAAAACTTAGAAGAAAGAAGATTAGAGATTTCAAGTGGAAGCTTCTGAAGACATCCCAGGAAGGGGAAGATAGGAAAATGGAAGATTAGAAAAGAGAAGATAGGAAAATGGAAGACTAGAAGATAGATAGAAAATGGAAGACTAGAAGATAGATAGAAAATGGAAGACTAGAAGATAGAAAAATATGCCTTTTACAAGACAACTAAACCTGAGATAGAAAGTGGGAAAGTTGACAAACTAGAAGATCAGAACGACTAAGGGCACAGGCACAAATTGTAGGAAACGAAGATGGAAGGTTGGCCATGCTGCCGAGGAAGAGCATTTCAGGTAGCAAATGAAAAGCGAGCTAGGAAGATTGAATAAGCTACAAGGTAGACGGCAGAGCAGAAAGTAGAAGAGCGGAACTTAAAGCCAGAGTTGGTAGCCAGAAGTGCGAAGGGAACGAACCCGAGCCCTTGTGCTCGCGAGAGCTCATCAGTTTCATTTTGGTGGCTGAGAACTTAGCTCCTGAGCTGAGGGCGTTCAGACTTGTTAGGGCAGCAGGCAGCACGGTCGCGCCTTAGAAGACTGTTGAGGACCAGAAACTTCAAAGCAAGAGGCTGAAAGGACCGAAGCCGTGTAAGCTAAGTGTTAGGCGGCTTTTGGAAGAGTTGAGCTCAAGGCCTTAGGTACACTAGTTCGGGTCTCAGAAACCCTACAGGACTTTCTCACGGAGTAATGCAAGATCACGAGCCTGACGTTGGCATTGGACTGAGCTGAGATGGTTAAAGGCCGAGGCCTTAGTGGGCCGCGGGCCTCGGTGCTGCCAGACGCGGATTCAGTGACGCTAGGAAGACAGGAGCCCGGGAGCCGGTGTGGAGAAGCTAGGACTGAGGAGGAGCTGGAGCCGCAGTGGTGAAGATAGGCCAGGCCGGAGCCAGTGCCAGTGCGAGTTGTGAAGGAAGCTAGGAAGAAGGAAGGAGCGAGCCCCTGTCGATGTGGAGGTGCAGCTAGGCGAGGATGCCGGGAAGGAGGAGCCGGCGCGGCGCGGTGTGGTGCTGAAGCTGGCGCACGCGGCGAGGCGGCGTGGTGGATAGATAGCGCGGCCTAGCGCAGCGCCCAGGCAGAGCCAGTGTGTGGTAAAGAGCCGAGTTGTGTTGTGACGAGTATGGGAACTGACGCCCTCAATGGTAACGGGGACTGAGTAGGGAAGTGGGTTCTGATGCGCACGTAGGCCGATTTCCGGGTGTTGTAGGTTTCTCTTTTTCAGGCTTATTTCTCATGCATCTTGTCTGAAGCTTTTGAGGGCAGACTTCCCAGGCCGGAGGAGTGGTAGCTGGCAAGTTTTTGTTTACTTTTAACCAATTTGAGGGAAGCAAATGCGTTCTGTATCTAACGTTGAGACGCAATTTCAGCAAGTTGTGTGAGCAGGTACTTCTACATCGGGGCGATGAGTTTTAGTTGTGTCACTAGTATCCTCGCCCTAAATTTTCAGGGACTTTTTGGGGTGTATACCTTGGGGGTGGAGTTCCGTGGGGGCGGGGGGCAACATGTTTTGAGTTCTTTTCCCCTTAGGTCTGCCTAGAATCTCAAGGGCAGTGACTCAAGGTAACAATGAAAATCCAGTATCAGGATAAACAGCATCACAGGTTTACAGTTTCTAGAAACTAGCGCATGCAGCAGCTCTTTGAGGTCTGACGGAGCTGTCCATTGGAGAAATGGCTGGTAGTAATCCTTTTCTTCCACCCCTTCATCAGACTTAAGTATTATGACCCCCTTGTTACCTTTACGTGGATTAGGTTGGGTGGGCTTACCAGGGAAAGAGGGCGGGGGAGAAAATGTGTTTTTTTCTAAGATTCTCCACAGATGCTCTAGTGCTCTTGACAGATTGGTTAGAGAAGGAGTGTACTGCTAAGCTGTTGGCACCAACACCTTCAGGGACTGGAGCTGCTTTTTTCCTTCAAGAGTATTGCCAGTTGAAGCTGACATGTGCAGCACAGTGCAGCTCGGGTTCATGTTCAGTCATCTCAGGAGAACATCAGACGCTCTTGACTAGGCCAGATGTTGAAGTTAAGTTTTCAAATGTGACTTCTTAAAAAAACAAAAAAACAAACTGCCTATTATTAAAGGGGAGGGGCATATTTTGCCAGTCGTAGTTGGCAGTTACCTGTTGGGACTGGGAGGGTTGGGGTTAGGTAATTGTTTAGTTTATGATTTCAGAGAACTCATGCCAGAGAACTTAAATACTTAGGATGGAAAAACTAAAGAAACCTCAACTTACAAGTTGGCAAGTAACTCCCAATCCTCTAGTTTTTGGCTTCCTCCCCACCCCCCATTTTTGAATTGGACATCTGGGGGAAGTTCATGAAGATCCGCTGGATTGGGGGTTGGTCTGGCTCACTGGGCTGACCTAACAGATCTTGGGAATATATGTAAAAACTAAAGTTTGGATATGGTAGTGTGTGGTTCTCTTTTGGAATTTTTTTCAGGTGATTAAATATAACTTAAGGCTACTATAGGAGCTTCAGAGCAAAGGATGGCTTAATGATCCTGAAGGGATTTCTGCTGATGGTAGCTTTTATATTCTCAAGTAAGATTCTGTTTTTAGTTGTGATAAGCAAGTTTCTTTTTTAGTGTAGGGGAAAAAATTTCCTTTATGTGACTGCAAAACAGGATGTTAAGGTATGGTTCAAAATTTTTGTCATGTGTTTAAAAATTGTATCTTAAGTATTTGTAATTCGTAACTGACAAGAGGGTGGGCTTTGTTGATGAGGGGAGGGGAAACCTTTTTTTTGTCTGTAGACTTTTTTCAGATAACATCTTCTGAGTCATAACCAGCCTGGCAATATGATGGCCTAGATGGAGAGGGAACAACTCCTTGGTGAATGATAAGTAAAAGGCAGAAAAGATTCTATTTTCTACCTCCATGGGGGAAAGAGCATAACCCTTGAAATCCTTACCTACTGATGAACGCATTGTCTACATAATGAAAAAAAAAAGCTACCAATTTAAAGTTAACGGAATCTACCACTTTAAAGTTATGGCTAACCAAGCTGTGCCCGCAAAAAATAATGAGTCAATGAGAAAGTAATGAATTGATGAGCAATACAACGAAGATCAAATGTCCATCTCAAAATACTGCTTTTACAAAAGCAGAATTTTAAAAAGTGAAATGAAATGAAAGATAATACTACATTAATCCTGGAATAAAAGAAGCTGGAATCAGATGAGTGGGATCATGTGGATTGAGGAGAGGAGGCTGTCCTGTTTGCCAATCTTTCGTTTGCCTCAGACAGGTTTCTCTTGTCAGAAGAGTTGCTTCATTTCATCTGGGAGCAGAAAACAGCAGGCAGCTGTTAACAGATAAGTTTAACTTGCATCTGCAGTATTGCATGTTAGGGATAAGTACTTACAAGAGCGGTGTTAATGTTGAGTAGTGTGCGGCCATTCTCCTGGCCCCCCTCCCCTTAAGGGACTCCAGGATTGAGGAATTTCCCCATCCTTTGTAAAGTTGGCCTAGTGCCTGTAAACAGGCCTTGTGCCCTTGGGGCTTCATGGTGGAATAGCACAACCTCAAGCAGAGGCCAGTAATTAAGGCCTCTTAAGAGATGAGCCCCTTCATCCTTTGGCAACCGAGTCTCTAAAAACTGATAGCATAATGTACTGTTAATGAGAATAATGAACAGTTGTTCACCTTGCTAAAATTTAAATGTATTGCAATGTATATTTTGTAGAAAACAATTAAATCATTAAAAATAAAACATTTATTAGCGAATGTATACTTTTAGAAAGCTGTCTCCTTATTTAAATAAAATATTGTTTGTCTGTAGTTAGTGTTGGGCAATCTTGGGGGGATTCTTCTCTAATCTTTCAGAAACTTTGTCTGCGAACACTTAACGGACGAGATCAGGAATGATCGGAAGAAGAAATTTAACTTTAAGGCAGGAAATAAAAATTTTACCCTTCGTAAAATGATGAGCATTTAATAATTTCCAGGCACATGGCAATAGAGACCCTCTAAATAAGGAATTAAATACCTTAGACAGGTGGGAGATTATGATCAGAATAACAGGTAACTACACCTACACTTTGTTTCTAGAAAGTCAGGCATCTGAGTGGACAGTGGTTACAGTAATATTGCACATTTCCCTAGTTTGCATGTTATAAATGCTTATACACTATTGAACTTTTATAGGCACTTGGTGGGAGGACATGTGGGTTTTTTAAAGAATTTTCCTTTTCAGAGGCTTCATTTCATCCTTCATGAAGTTCAGGATTTTGACTTGCATATAAAGCGCTTGGCTCTGCCTTCTGTTCTAGTGAGTGTGTGAGATCTTGCAGTGAGTTTTTCAGCATACTCAACCCCACCCTGATTTTGGAGGGAAGGGAGGAGGGGGTGGGGCTTACTTGTTTTAGCTTTTTTTTACAGACTACACAGAGAATGCAGTTGTCTTGACCTAAAGTCTGTGTTCTGTTGGCAAGTAATAATGCAGTACTGTTCTGGCCCGCTGCTGTTAGAATGCATTGTGAAACGACTGGAGTGGAGTCTGATTAAGAGTTGTGTTGCCCTAATGCTTGGAATAGTGATTGTTGGAGGAAAATCCATCTGAGTGATACAGGCTGAGTGTTGAGAAAATTTCTGCAGCTTTTAAGCATTCGTGTTTGTGATTGAAGTCAAAAGTACCTTTTGCTGTGCTGCTTTAGGTAAAAAGCTTTTTGTTCACTTGTGGTAGGGGGGTGGGGGGACACTGAAGCCTTCGGTCTTTTCCAGATGCAACCTTAAAATCAGTGACAAGTAAGTTCAAACAAGTCTTCAGGAAACTTAACTGGCAAGTGGAAATGTTTAACAGTCCAGTGATCTTAGTGTATTGTCTTTGTGTGGGTTTCTCTCTCTCCCCTCCCTTGGTCTCAATTCTTACATGCAGGAGCATTCAAAACAGCAGACGTATGCGAAGGGCCAGAGAAGCCAGACCCAGTAAGGACAAAATAGTCTTATTTACTCTAAATAAGCAAAACCAGATACTCCTTTTAAATGTGGGGACTGGGAGCCGCTAGTTCTTTCAGGTGGTATCTGCAGCTTGTAGGAGCAGCTTCCACTTGGGAATTCACCATTGGACAAAATAAGGACAACAGGTGACAAACTTTTCTGTATTTACATACCAGGTCAGAACCATTGCGGGTAAATGAGCCTGACAGTAAAACTTCCAGCTTTATGCTGGCGTAGACGGCATGTGAGCAAGTCGTTTGTTGGCCTGGGGGTGGAGGGGTGAGGTGGGCTCTAAGCCTTTTTTTAAGATTTTCCAGGTACCCCTCACCAAAGGCACCAGGCTTTAAGTAGGACAACCATGGAGCCTTCCTGTGGCAAGAGACAGCAGAGCACTCCTGTGCTAAGGACAATCAAAACTCGGCCTTATAGCCCCTCTTCTGTTAGAAGTGAGGAGTCGCCTCCACGTCTGACACACTGAGGCTGTTTATTCTGGGAGCATCAAAGGAGTGCTTGAGTACTTTGTGTGCCCCAAGCTCGTCTTAATATTTTACCAAGCTGTCTTAAGAGCAGCTCTTAATAAATCTCAAGTGATGCTTGAAGGGGAGGGAAAGGGGAAAGCGGGCAACCACTTTTCCCTGGATTTTCCAGAAGCCTGTTAAAAGCAAGGCCTCCCCACAAGCAACTTCTCTGCCACATCCGCCACCCCCTGCCTTTGGCCTAGCACAGACCCTTCACCCCTCACCTCGATGCTGCCTGTAGCTTGGATCCCTGAGGGCTTGATCCATAATCTTGTTTCAAGGTAACATTGGTGCTGAGGGTTTTGCCCCACTAGAAAAGACCGTTAATTTGCCTGCAACTAGTTAACGTTATTAAAACCACAACTAAAAAAGCACTAAGATGTTTTAAAAACTGCACTTTACCCAGTGGTTAAAACAAACTAGTAAATGGAGAAATAACATTTTAAGTTACAATATTGGGTGGGCAAGTATTGCATAGGCCATTTAGTGATTGAGAAAGGTTTTCTGGGTGGGATTGCAAAAATTCTCTGCTAAGATTTTTTCAGGTGAACATAAGACTTGGCCAGCTAGCATCTTAGCTGAAGCAGATTCTCCAGTGTTCTTCAGTAGGGCTTGTAAGGTTTTTCTTTTCCTGAGAAAACAAAAAGATTTTGTTTTCTCAGGTTTTGCTTTTTGGCCTTTCTTAGCTTAAAAAAAAAAGCAAAAGATGCTGGTGGTTGGCACTCCTGGTTGCCAGGACGGGGTTCGAATCCCTGCGGCGTCTTTGCTTGTTTGCAGCCTCTGCTTCCGGGGCTCTGCTTCACTCTCATCAGATGGGCCAGCTTGCAAGTGAGCAGTTTGAACTCCATCAGAATCCTGGGTCTGTTTTGTTAATGGCAGAAGGGCAGGTTTCTGGTACTGTGCACACCCTGTTTCTACAAGGTTCTTGGTGGGTTTGCATTGGCAACTATACATGGGTCAGGTGGCATGTGGTACACACCAAGAGGTGAGTTGTATGGTTGCTACCAAATTGTGAGTCATGGGTCAGTAGACATGGGGCCCTAGCCTCCGGGTCCATTCTGTGGTACACAGTCCAACAAGATCATACCAGGAACTGAGCAGAGCGTTGCTTAGTTCCCCAGGCTGCTGGTCACCATGCTCTTCTGTATTAAATTTCTACAGGAACCTAATGCAACTGCCTTGTCCTTAATTTTCAGGTTTCTCCTATGTCTTGAGTGTCTGAAGGGTGTTTGCTATAAACGTTTATACTAATAAAAGTTGACAAACTCTTGGTGTTTTGTGTTAAATTTCCATGAGTCTAGTCGCTGTTGGGGGGGGAAGCTCCTGGAAGCTCCTTGTTACTGCTCTAAAGTGCAAGGAGCCCTGATCATGCAGTGAACTAAAAGGCCCTGTAACCACCCTACAGAAAAAGGTCACCCTGGTAGGCCCATCTTGTCCCCTGTTGTCCTGTGGAACTGCCTGATACTGGGTGACTGTCCCTCCTGTGAATAAAGCACTGGAAAGCCCTTAAATAGCCTCCGCTGAATCTACACAAAGCCCTTTGTGCTCCGACAGTAGGGGGTGGGGCCTAGGCCTGATGGACACACCTCACATGGGCTCCCATTGGGGAGCCTGTTATAGCCACGCCCACCGGAAGGCCTCAGTGAGAAGCTTGACACTACCGAGCTCTCCAGGCTGCTTTGGGAATGGGGAAAGGCCCAGGTTAGCTCACGTGGCCAAGCCTGGTACTGGGACCCTAGTCTGGTGAATGGCAGGCCAACCCAGCCTGCCCACCCTGAGCAGTCCTGGGCAGGGGCTTTTCACGGAAGTGATGTAATAGGGGCGCCTAGCACAGGGTGGCTGCGGCCTTGGTTATGGGAGGAGTCAAATTAGATGGACACCACGGTCCTCGGGACTTACATGTGTTTTAGGATTGGTGCCAAGTCTCAGCGTCGAAGAGAAATCTTTCCAGAGCTACACATTTGCGGAACATTGGGAAACGAGAGCAGGGGTTGGGGGAATGTGCCGCGAGCTTCCTGGTGTTGGGCAGGTCCAGAGTTGGCCAGGACTAGGGATGCAGGCGGACAGGAAGGGCAGACAGCAGGCAAATTCCACTCTGCGCAAAATAAATGGAGAAAGGCCGACTAGGGCCCCTCCCCCCAGAGTGCTTCGCCAGTCGGAGGGTTGGGTCTTGATAAACGCACCCCAGCCCTGCCTTTAGCCCTCCTGCTGTACGAAGGGTTTTGGGATTTTACCATTCTGGTAATAGCAGTAGCAGGTGGCTGAAACAAACCCAAGTTCAAAAGGCAGCGCCACCATCTTCCAGTCTCTCTACTAAGTTCTGGCTGGGCCCAGCGTCAGGGGCTAATTGGTATGGACCTGGGCAGCAGATTAATGACTTCAATAAGGGCAATAAGGGGTGAAACTAAAATGAGGGACCTGGGAGGAGGGGTTGTAGAATCTGGGAGTGTCTGCCTGGACTAACGGTTCTGAAGCCCAGAAAGCCTAGAAGATGTTAGATCCTGGCCCTGACAAATTGGCGAACAGGTGGTCACCTATTGTCTCCTGGCTTTTCATTTCCTTAAATGGACATTGTACCCCAAGGGTCTATGGAACTGGAGGAGCAAATGGACCGCACAACTGGAAATGAATGGACTTTTGCCGCCATCTAGTGCATAGGTGCAGTATTGCATGCAATGGCCTTGGAATAACTCCAAATACTGCTGTTTAATGTTGTTGTTGTTGTTTTTAAGATTTATTTATTTGTATTTATTTATTTGGGGTACAGGTTAGAGTTGCGGGGGGTGAGAGGATTCA